GTCCACGATCTCTGCACTAGACACAGGCACGCAGCCGTCTATAGCCACATGGCTGCCAGCCTGGCCACCAGAGGCCACATGCGGACCCGGGAGCAGGTCCACTGCAAAATCAAGGACCTGCGGCAGTCCTACTCCAGGGCATGCCAGCCAGGGGCCGACCCAGAGACCTGCCCCCACTTTGAGGCCCTGGACCACATCCTGGGGGCTCAGGAATTGAATAGATTCCAGGTTGACATTTTCAGAAGTGACCACTGATTTGGGGTTCTTCCATTCCAGGGTGCCCAACCTGAGACATGTTAAAGGGGCCTGCCATTCAGAAAGTGCTGACAACCTGCACTCTGAAAAGGAGGAGGCCCTTTATATGTGCCTCAGGCTGGGCACTTAAGGCAAACTTAGTGGCTGTTTCCTCTGTACATACCAGTCTTGTTAATGTAGTGATTGATCCAGTCAACAAAAACAGCAACGTTTGTGTATACTCCTGGGTAGTTTTTTCTTCCACAACCAAAGCCCCAGCTTATTAGTCCATTCAGAGTGTAAAATCCTGTCTCTTCTGAAGGACAAACTAATGGTCCCCCTGAGTCACCCTACATTAGAAGAGAAAATCGTTGGTTACAAATTAACATTGCTGTTTGGTGTGCTGCCATGGCAAACTTTGAATCATTATGTGTTTGATTCATGCTTACCTCATTTATTTTTGTCCTTCTTTTGTATTGTAGGTCCAAGACACTTGGGCCATTTGTGTGGTGCATGGGTGGATGTGTAATCTGAATAGCTAATGGTACTGTTGGAATGACAAATTGTTTCACAATGTACCAGATAAGCAATTTTTGTCCGCAGTGAAACAGCCCTTTCCACTCAAATCTTAGCACTCCCTATTTCAGAATCAAAGGTCTTTCCAATTCCGTGATGAGCACAAAAGCGGCACTTTGTTTTAACTTACTGTGCATGAATCCTTTCCCTCCTCCAGAGGGAATCCGGCACACAGCATCTGCTGGGTCACCCTGCCAGGATGATTTACATAGTAGTTCTGACACATCTCAGGGACTAGGATTGGGACTTCCAGCTGCTGAAGTTTATTGGACTTTTCCCTGTCTTGAAGTGAAAAAAGATCTTAGAATCAGCAAAAACTTGGACCAGTGATGAACACTAATGTCCATCTACCTCCTGCCAGTATCACAGACATAAGAGCTGAAAAATACCTCTAGCTCACCAACCCTGCCCACTGGCAATGCAGGATTGCTCTCTCCTATACATTTGCTCATGCTCTGTCCTGTCTTTAAAGGTTTCAAGTGACAATGTTTCTAGTACTCCCCTTCTGCCAGCTGTACCAGTTTAATATAGCTGATTCCTATCCCATCCCATGCACATCACACCATCTACACCATCAAGAACACATTCCAATTTGCACATGACTGTTCTAGGAGCCAAATAAAGATACAGCTCACTCTCCCATGTTTGTTAAAATATATCTGTGGTATGCACAGCCCTGGGAAGTGAAAAGACTTGGATACCTTCATTACGGATCCCCCACCCTGTGGTGGTGCACACCCTAGAAGGCTGAACCACTTCACCCGTCTCAGGCAGGCACACCGGACGCACGTAGTGATTAAACTCCAAGGGCTCAGTCAATTGCAATAATGCAATATCTGAATCCATAGTAGTCTTGTTAAAATCATGATGTACAATGTACAGCTTCACTGATCGTCTCTAGAAAAAGGAAGATATGGCAATTAATCAAATGAGCCAGGAACCTGGTGCTTTAAAACATGCCAGTTTGATGCATTTACCTGGAGCCCTGGGGATGGTGCATGGAAAAGAACCAACATTATTAATGATAGGCTGCTTGAAAGTGTAACCAATTGGACACCATCCCCCCTCCCTCCTCTCCACTGGCATCTAGCTGAGGCTAGATCTACGCAACAGCGTTTTTGCACAAAAAACTCACGGAGCTTCCACACCTGAAGCGCATTTTTGCGCAAGTAAATCAACGGAACAGAGGGGTTTTCCAGCGTAGGTATTCCTCTTTCTATGAGGTATAACTCCTTTTTGCACAAGAGTTCTTGTGCAAAAAGGTGTGTGAGTGGATGGGCAACAGGGGTTTTTTGTGCAAAAACAGGAAAGAGGAAAAACCACAGGTGCCCTGGTGGCCATTCTGTGGATAGCTATTAGTGCTTTCTTTCCATGTAGTGTGAACACTCTCTTGCACAATAGCACATTGCTTTTTTTGATGCACTTTTGCACGGTGGACACGCTTTTGCGCAAGACATTTTTGCAGAAGATCTCTTCCACAAAAAGCTTCTTGCGCAAGAAGCCTGTAGTGTAGACATAGGTTGATTGGACATACTCCTCTGCTTTCCCCTTTTCCTTTGACCCTACCTCTCTTAGTTACAGTTTATGTTAAGCTCTGTATTCTGCTTTTGGTATGTTAACCCCTATTATTTACATTAGGTCTTTTTAATACATCAAGCAATCCAATTTATGGTAGGTTTCTGCTTACTCAAGGTCATGAGGCTGGTTTTACTTAGAAACCATATTGTTTAATGTATGCTTATGAATATGTATGTAACCTATGGAATGAGTATGAGGAGTGAATGAGAAATACCCAATCAAAGGCAGTTTAGGATCTGTGACCTGCAGCTCCGAAGGGATTTCCCAAGGAACATCATAATCTACACCACATTTGCAGCCTGCCTCCAAACTGCCAGCATGAATGTGATGTAAATCTGTGCCAATGAGCAACCCCAAAAGCAATACTGCTCCAGCCTACCCTCTGTCCGGGTTTGTTCCTCAGCAGGTCCGAGACAGTGCAACAGAAAGCAGCTGTCTTGTCGTGATAGGTAAGGAGCATTTAAGACATTGAGAAACTAAAGTCAGGAGAATGGGATTGGAAGGAATGCACATGCACTGGACTTGCCACTTCTCTGTGACAATGGGCAGCATTTGTTTTGGCAACAGTTACCAGATCTTGCAGAATTTAAAGCTAAAATAATGGAGTAGTGTCTGAGACATTCCTCTGCTGTGCACTGCTTTCTTCACACCTTGCACACTTGGGAGCAGTGCTCAGAGTCTGGGGCTCATTATTGTTCACTTCAGAGTTCTATGATGGCAATTAAACTTCCTCATGTGCATGTGTGCCCTTCATTTTTATATTTGCACATCTGCTGCCTCCTACATTCTATCAGTTAGTGAGAAGTATGTAATGTACAAACCAGGTTTAATTCACAATACCTGACTGTGCTCTTGCTCTGTAATATCATGGAGTCCAGCAACTACTGTCCATAATTCTCTATATTGTTCCCTAAAAAACAACAAAAGCAGGAACAATCTTAGGGCTGTTCTCACAATGAAATTTGTCTAACAATCTCTCGCATAATTAAGTCTTCAGAACTTAGGACCCCACTCCCATACAAATGCTTATGTCCTGATTATTTCTGAATCACCAAGTGTAGGGCTCCCATCCTATTCCCACAAACTAATGGGAATTTTGCCATTACCTTCAACAGCAGCATGATCAAGTCCTGCAACTCAGCAGTGTGTTAAGGCAAAAGAATAATTTGGGCCAGGAATTAGGATCTTATAGGGTCTGAGTCTTATAGAAAGCATCTTGAGAAGCAGCAGGACATAGATATATACTAGGAACAAAACTAACAATTAATCCCATTCTTTTCATTTCACATCAGTTTTTCATGAAAAAAAAAAAAAAGATTAACTGAATCAGACTGAAAACACAACAGAAACCTCGGTCATGCCTTTTACAGTTGTTCCTTTTTGTTGAGACAATAAAGACACTGAGGATTGACTAAATCAATTAATGCAAAGCCACTGGCGGCCTTTACAAAGATTCTGATATAATGAGATCATACAATGTAGAAATTTTCCTCACACAGGCTACATCTAAACTATGATCCTCTTGCGGAAGAGCAAATGCAAATGGAGCACTCATTTGCATATGCCATGCTCTCATTTGCATTTCCTCTTCCTTTCCTTTTTGCGCAAGAGATTTTGCGCAAACACGCGCTGTGTAGACGGTGCCTTTTTGCACAAAAAAAACCCTTTTGTGCAAGAGCCATTCTTTCTCATTGTTTGTGCAAAAGGGAAAGGAAGAGGAAATGCAAATGAGAGCATGGCATATGCAAATGAGTGCTCCATTTGCATTTGCTCTTCCGCAAGAGGATTGTAGTTTAGATTTAGCCACAGGGTTGTTTTCTTTTGTTATTGTTTTAAATACTGCAAAAGCAGGACCCCTGGGGTAAAATGTTCAGACCCAACTAAATCCCATTTTCAGAAGTGTCTTAGGCAAGTCAGACCATAAGTTCCATTGGGATTTAGGACCCTAATGCCTGAGTCATTTCTGAACATTTGACCTCTAATCCTTAAAGACATACTCAAAATTATTTGAAAATGTAACAGAATTTCTAGGGTAACCCTGGGAGAAGATGCTCTTGCAGAAAGAGCCTACTGTGGAAAGAAAACCAGATAACAAGGAGGGTCTTTATATGTGCTTTTCTTTAAAGCAGAAAATTAGAACAGCCAATTAGAACAGCCATATAATATTCATTACAAATGATCTAGAAAATACCCAAGAAGTACTTTTTGGAAAACATATTTCTCGAGGGAGCTCTTGTTGCCAACATCTGTAATTAACTCTTTCAATAACAGTGTCCTGCCCCACTCTAGTAACAAGGGGTCAGATCTGTGGGTCTATGACTCAATAATGACAAGCCTATCCCAAAGCTCTAAGCAGATATGGTAGGCCTCCTGTTGATCTCCCAGGATCTAAAGAGGTTCTGGGGGAACTTTTGGAGGTGTGGATGAGCCAGGGGTGAAAGTAGAATTAATTTCTTCCCTGTATGGAGAGAGGGGGCCACACCAGCTAGAGAGGGGGCATGTGACTTCCTCACGTGACCCTCCATGTGATTCTGCTCCATCCCCACCAGACTACCCCCGTTCCCCACTCTTGCCTCTCCCTCCCCATCCTTTGTTAGCTGGGTGGAGAAACCTGGGGTTGGGATGGCAGTTGAAGGAGCTGCCGGCAGTTCTGCCCCATTCTGCCCCAGCCAGCAATGAAAGGAACGGAAGCCCCAGCTCTGCCCCCTGCAAGTGCAGGCAGCTCCTCCAGCTGCTGTACCACGCCCCCCTACTCTGCCCTGCTCTCCTGAGGCAGAGCTCTGTGGAGAGGCGGGGTCAGTACGGTGTCTTTCTGACATGTCGTATCAACTACAAAGCGCTCATACAGTGCACTGGGCCTTGTGGGTCCCTTTCTTGCCGGTACAGAGTACCTGGTCGGAGTGGCTTACCTTCACCTCTGGGAAAAGCCCCTGCAATGCATGCTGTGGCGGGGCACAGGACAGTCAGGGATGGTAGAGAAATGTGGGGACTATAAATCATGTCAGTATCCCCTGAAATATCAAATATGTTAGCTGCCCCCATTTTAAACCAGCCTGTCAGAGCAAAATTCAAATAACTACATCACATTTTATGTGACATCTTGTGATAAGGAACTCCCTCCCAGAAATCCTATAGTGTCTTCTTCCCCTGGGCACCTACTTGAAATTAAAGCAGTGAGCAGCTGTGACAACCCAATCTCTGGTAAGAGCTGCTCCTCCACAGATGTGTTCGGCTGACATCTGTATGCTGACCTGCCAGGGCCAGGAGTAGGGCACAGCTTCCTCACCTCCC